ATTAAAAAATATTAAAAATATATATTACTAAAAATATGTTACTTTTTATTTTTATGTATTATTATAAATGTATTATTTAAAAAATAAAATTCAAATAAAAAAATTGAAAACTTACTTTTATTTATGGCTTAATTAAAAAATAAAAATATATATTATTAAAAAAATATTACTTTATATTTTTATATATTAATAAAATTATATTATTTAAAAAATAATATTCAAATAAAAAATTGAAAACTTACTGTTACTGTTATTTATTGTTTTATAAAAAAATAAAAATATATATTATTAAAAATATATTATTTTATATTTTTATATATTATTAAAAATGTATTATTTTAAAAAATAAAATTCACATAAGAAAATTGAAAACTTACTTTTATTTATTGTTTAATTAAAAATAAAAATATATATTAATTAAAATATATTACTTTTTATTTTTATTTATTATAAAAAATATATTATTTTTTATATATTAAAATATATTAATTTTGAGAATATATTATTTTTTGTATATAATTTAAAAATATATTATTTTTTTATATTATTAATAAAATATATTATTTTATTTTATATATTATTAAAAATATATTATTTTATTTTATATATTATTAAAAAAGGCATTTATATATAATTTATTACGAGTATATTATTTTTAAAAAAAAAGCTTTTATTTATTTTTATAATAAAAAATCATAATGTCATTCCATTCAGATCTTATTCCTTCTGCATACCAAACGCATCAATGACAAAATTTGTTCCATTCCATTCCATAATCATTCCATTTTTCAGTTCATTCCATTCCTACGAAATTTCGTTCCATTATACCAATCATGTCATAAGAGTATATCAAGTTATTTGCCATAACATCTCAAAGTTTAATGTGTTTGGTTTGTGGCTAAAATGCGCTAAAATTGCTATCAATGAAGTATCCAACAAATTGTTTACACCACATCTCACTAATTTAGTTTGATACAATATTATACTCCATTTACTATGCCTTCTTCCTCTTCGCCAATCACCGGCAGAGGCGGGTTTTTCCTACCTGAGGGTGTCGCCGCTTTAGGTCCAAAGGTGAGCGAATCTCTGATAGAACTATGGTGTTATAATTTTTTTCAGAGATCAATAAATATGTTTGGCCCATGACATGAGTGGGTCGAGGATGAGGGTGGCGTGTTGACAATTCGGAGTTGAGCTTTGACGATGGTGTAAATCGGAGTAGGACATGTTGCTATAGTGAAATTTTTTGTGGCCTAGAACTATGATCATGGTTGCACACCGTGAATCCTTAATTGTTACTGTGTGAGAGAGTGGGTCTCAATATGGATTCTTCGTTTTCTTTTTTCTTTTTTTCAAAAACCTAAAACGGAAAGTCACAACACTGCAATTATCCAATGACTTGAACGTGTGATGTGAAGGACATTGCTTGTAGCACTAATTGCATAACAGTGATGCATTGAACTGAAACTCTCCTTTTTTTACTTTACCACACTCCTCGCGGGATCGACTCTTGTTTACCATTACTACTAGTGAGTAAGTGGAAGTCAAGGAAAAAATTTATAAATTTAATTTGTCGCGCTGCAACACATGGTCAAATTTTAGCGTCGCCGGGGGAGTGGCGTGACATAAATAATTATTTTATTAGTGTTTGTTAGTTTATTCTGAATTTTGTCACTTTTGAGGATACCATTGTTCTCATTTTTCATATGAATAAAAACCAAGTCATCAGGGGTTAAAGGCTTGGAATTCATTCGAGAGATCACGGTATGGGATTGAGCTAAATAAGAAGGCTCGAAAAGAGAAAGAAACTATTGTTGGCATGGGTATTCAATCCAAAGTCTAAAACAAAGAAGTAGTGAACGGAAGTGAAGATGAGAATAGTCAATAAGACGTCACTCTCAACAGTGAGAACATAGTGATGGCTAACTAAGAGCGTTCACTAAGGGAACACTCTAATGCTTTATGCTCGCAACAACCTTCATGCATAACTTTTTCAGAGATCAACGTGTTAGTGTGTATACTGAAAGCTTGGCTTTGGATGTGATTCACACTATTTATGTTGAATAGAATTCATGTTTGATTCAATAAAGTTCTATGTTCTCTTGTTTTGCATTTAGATAAATCGTCCATCCCGGGTGGACAAAAGATCATTTATCAGTTACTTGTGAAACATAAATAATTGGTTCACTACCTAGATAAAAATTGAACAATCCATTGCAATGGTTGTAGTGCGAGCGGTGTCGCCTGTTTTGACAGATTAGTCACACTAGTACACATTGATGTATTGAATGGATCCCAGAGAGAGCATTTCGTTTTATACTGATCAGCATAAACGAACTAGGCCTCGACTAATTACTGTGTTTTCTTATCCCGTAAGATATAAACAAACACATGTATGTAGTTATTACTGCTTTGATTCATCAATGAGAGGTTTATTGATATGGACCAACAACTGTCTTGGTTGGGTAGTAATTCCTACATGACATGGTATTCTGTTATAGTACTTACGATCACCATGTACTTCACATAGTTGAGGTTTGATGATGTCACCGAAGTGAATTCAAAAGGATTATGATGTTAAACCCTTCAGGTGGATTAAATTCTAACATAATAATAATGATTGAACGGTGCTAGCTTTGG